GAGATGACATCCTTTAACACCCGGAGATACCATCCCCTCCGGCCCAGGAGACTTGAATTCATTCAAAATTACTAGGTGCTCTGCAGGGCAGTGCCCCTGATTTTTGGAAACCAGCTCATCATCTGATACCAATACTCTGATGTTAAAAAAAAAAAAAAAAGCATGGAGAAATGTTACTCCCTGTTTAGGACATCTACGTGAAACTGTAGGGTGAGGCAGTTTGTTACTGGGTTTCACAGTATGCAGAGGAAACACTGTTTGGTTGCTCTCTCTCGTCATACTCCTACAAGACAGCACAGTGCTGGACCCTGCAAGAGGCTAAAGGAGGCCAGGAACCCTGGTAAGACAGAAGACCAAGGACTAGAGGATAATGGTCTCCTTCTTAAAGAGCAGGTGGGTTCATTTCTATCACTCAAGACTTGAAGATCTGCCTGACCCTGAGGACAACCAGCCAGCTGTACCTCACCTGTGATCTTTCCTGGATCAGTACGGCCTGGCCAGAGTGGTCTGTCCTCTGATAACCTCCCAGTTTTTTGATACCAAGTGAAAACATGGCCTTTTCCTTTTCCTTCAAGAGTTAACAATCACAACTCTGTGCTAACACTCCTTGTAAATAATCTGTACTTCTCTACTAGTATACTATAGCCATTGTTATTTTAATCTTTTGAAGTTATTTATTTATTTATTGTATTTATATAGCCACCCATCTCACATAAAGTGACTCTGGGTGGTGTACAATTAGAAAGAATAAATACATAAAAACAATTACAAGTAAAAAACTATAAAAGCACACAAAACAGGAGGGGATAATATTCATAAGGGAGCCATTGCAAAATCTCCCCAGTCCCCTGGGATACCCAGTCCTGAACACATAGCCAGGTCTTAAGGGACTTGGGGAATGTTAAGAGGGATGGAGCTAATCTCACTTCTGGGGGAGAAGATTCCACAAGGCTGGCAGAGAAGGCCTATCTCCTGGGACCCACCAAATGTAATTCCCTCGCAGTTGGGACCCGCAGCATGCCTTCTCTGCTGGTCCCGATGGGACGGGCAGATGTAATCGGGGAGAGGCAGTCCCTCAGGTAACTGGGCCCCATGCTATGAAGGGCTTTAAAGATCAAAACCAGCACCCTGAATTGGACCTGGAAGCAAACTGGCAACCATCACAGCTCGCAGAGCAGAGGTGTAACATTTACTGACCTAAGGGCACGCATTTTGCACCAGCTGAAGCTTCCAGATACTCTTCAAGGGCAGCCCCAGGTAGGACGGATTACAGAAATCCAAACGGGAGGTGACTAGGGCATGAGTGACAGTGAGTAGGTTCTTCTGATCTAGGAATGGGTGCAACTGGTGCACAACACGAAGCTGCGCAAAGGCCCTCCTAACCACAACTGCAGGAGTCGTGAGTCCGGGAAGACCCCCAGATTGCGCACAGGGTCTGTCTGGGGCAGTGCAACCCCATTCAGTACCAAAGACAGTATAGTCCTGGAACCAGTGGGCCAAAAATCCCAAAGCCACTCAGCCTTGCCGGGGTTCAGTTGAAGCCTCCCCCCTCCCCCCCCCATCCTCACAGCCTCCAAGCACTGGGATAAGATACCCACAGCATTGCTTAATTCACCAGGGGTGGAAAGGTATAATTGGGTATCATCAGCATACTGATGATACCTCATCCCATGGCGACGAATGAGCTCACATAGCGGCCTCACGTAGATGTTAAATAGGAGCGGAGAGAGCACTGACCCCTGTGGCACCCCACATAACAGGGGCCGAGGGCGGGATCTCTCCTCCCCAACCACCACTGATTGGAATCGGCCCTGGAAGAAGGGGGTGAACCAGCACAACATCGTGCCGCCCACCCCCAATCCTCTGAGTCGATCTAGAAGGATACCGTGGTCAGTGGTATCAAAAGCCGCAGAGAGGTCAAGTAGGGCAAGGATGGATGCACAACCCCCATCCCACCTGCGCCAGAGATCATCCAAAAGCATGACCAATGCTGTTTCTGTCCCATACACAGGGCTGAATCCTGACTGAAAGGGATCCAGATAATCCGCTTTATCCAGGGTCCTCTGAAGCTGTTGCACAACCACCTTCTTAATCACCTTCCCCAAAAAGTGGAGGTTGAATACTGGACGAAAATTGTCCAGTATAGTGGGGTCTAGCGATGGCCTCTTGAGGAGGGGCAAACCAAGGCCTCCCTAAGAGGTGAGGGAACAACCCCCTCATTCAAAGATACCCTAACCATTGCTACAACCCACTCACACGACACCCTCCAGGCGCTTTAAACACCCAGGAGGGGCATGGATCTAAAGAGCAGGTGGCTGAGCTCACAGTCCTAAGGACCCTGCCCCTTCCTCAGATCCAACAGGTTCAAACTGTTCCCAGATAACAGGGCAAGACGCCTCCCTAGGCATCTCCACTGGAGCTGCAGCAAAGCCAATGTCCAACTGAGAATGAATCAAAGCAATTTTATCTGACAGATGCTGGGAAAATTCCTCCGCATGTCCCTGTGGAAGGTTCTCCAAGCCATCCTTACCCAGGAGGGCTTGCTTCATCTGCAACAGGGCTGCAGGGTGGCTATCTGCAGACGCAATAAGAGTGGAGAAGTAATGACACTTCACCGCCCTTATCGCCACTAACTAGGCATGAATAACAGCTCTAACCTGTGTTCAGTCGAGTTCATCCCTTGTTGAGCGCCTGCGACGCTCTAGACGTCTCTTCTCTCGCTTCCTCTCCCTTAGCTCTTCCGTAAACCACGGAGAGTGCCAGGATCCCTGCGAGGAGAGAGGTCGCATGGGCATAATCTCATTCAAAGCCTCAGCCCCCCTTTATTCCAAGCGACCAAGGCTTCAGATAGACCATGCAGCAGACCAGCAGGAACAACCTCCAGCTCCCTCTGGAACCAATCTGGGTCCATTAGTCACCTGGGGCAGACTGATCTAATGAGTCCAGCCTCCCTGTAGTGGACAGTGGCGCCAGAGAATCCCACTGTAATCAGGGCATGATCTGACCATGCCAAGGGGGACACCAAAAGCTCCCTGAATTTCAGATTACACAGCCACTACTCTGACAGGAACACCAGATGTATGTATGACAGTGTATGACCACTGTCCTGTGTCATACACCTATCCCTGTATGATTAGGGATAGGTCCATGGCCATCGTGGTGGCCATGAACTCCTGAGCCACCTCAGACCCCACCCCTAGAGAAGGCAGATTGAAATCCCCCAAGATCATAAGCCTGGGGAACTCCACTCCCAACCCAGAAATGGCGTCAAGGAGCTTAGGCAGGGAAGTTGCTGTGCGGCAGGGAGGCTGGTACAACAGCAGCAGCAGCAGCAGTCCCAGCTGATCCCTAGAGCCCAACTTAATAAACAGGGTCCCACATCCGGTGACCTGTGGTGCAGTGCCCCTGAAAGCTGTTAAGTGATTCCCGGAGGACAATCGCCACACCTCCACCCCTGCCCCGGACTCTCGGCTGATGCCACACTTGAAACCTGGCTGGGCATAATTCCAAGAGGGCTACCCCCTCCTCTGAACCTAGCCAGGTTTCAGTGATGCATGCCGGGTCAGCCCTCTCATCAGTGATTAAATTACTGATGAGGGAGGCCTTGTTACAGACTTAGATATATAAGAACCTAGGTATGTAAGATAGTAAGGGGGAAAAAAAAAAAGAGAGACACGCCACTGAGTAAAGCTCTACTGATGTCACCCATGCAGTATTATAATAGTGGTTTGCCGTTCTATTATATTATTACTATTATTTTCCAACTTCCCATCTAGCCAACAGCTTTGCCATTCCCCTCATCCGAGTTGCCCTGTTTAGCTATTCAAATCACCCAAGTGTTCCACCTGCTGAGCTCTTAGATAACAGACAGGTATAAATATTTTAATGAAACATATAAACATAGAGCTAATAGTATCCATCCTCCCCAGGAACAGATATGATGGGTTTTAAAAATATGGTTAAATTCTCAAATGCTGCCTCCAGACCAATTAATCAGACAGCAGCATTCTGTTTGTACACTGCGCCACTTAGTTTTTCTTTTTGCCAGAAACGAGCCCAAGACTGATTCCCCTCCACAGCAGAACACATTATGAAGCTGACTATTGAGGCCATAAAAAGCACCGCAAGAGGCCCAACTGACTCTTTGGCACTGAAGGGGACTGAGAGAGGAAGGGGCGTAACCCACTTCTTGGCCACCTGTCCACTGACGGTATCAAGAGGCAGCAAGCAAGCGTTTGCAAGGAATGGACTTGCCGAGACACACAAAGCTGCTCCGCTCTACTAAAGCCACCCACGATCTCTGCAGTGTCGCAGCTGTGCTGTCTGGCAACAGGTGCAGGCGGGATCATTTCTCTCAGCTTTACCTGGTGATGCTACTGGAATCAAACCAGGGATCTTTTGCATGCAATAACTGTCACCCTCTCTGGATTCCAGTTCTCATGCTTCTACTGGGCTGCCTTAAGTAGGAATGGAAGGAACTCTGTGCCTGTCTATCTCAGGAAGGCCAGTGAAGTCCCTGTAGAGGAGTTACAAAAGTGATCAGAGAAAAACTCTTGGCAATATTTGACAACTCCTGGATGGTTGGTAAGGCCCCAGAAAACTAGAGGAGAGCAAAGACAATGGCAGAATAGTCTGTTATGTGAAGTGGTAAGATCTCCTACAAAGAGAGGCTGGACGGTCATCTGCCCTAATGGATCTTGCACTGAGCAGGCGGTTGGGATAGATGGTCTTTAAGGTTTGTTCCAATTCAATGATTTTCTGACCCTTAGCCTACAAGGCAAGAGCCCACCACTAAAAAAGAAAATATGCTATTTCTTTAGAACTATCTCCTTGTGGGAGGATTTATATTTGTTCCACTATTTACCAACTTTTATCAATTAAATGGTCAAGATTACTCTCACTGAAAAAATGATTTTGCTTTTCAGCTTCCCAACATTATACCTAGAAGTACCTCATGCCTGACTATATTGAAGACCACACAAACATCGAGAAGGGCTTACCCGTCCTATGTCCAGCATATCTGCATAGCTCAGCAGGGCCACTGGGATATCAATTTCCTCATACTGACTCCGGTTACCAGCTGGGGGGACCTAATGAGAACAGTAGAAAGCAGTGCTTAAATATACCACATAGGCATCAACTCAATTTCAGTGGCCTGAAATCTAAGCAATTCGCCCCCATGATGAAACTCAGCAACATCCATTTAACAAGCGTTGGGTTAGCTTTGTTCAATCTAGATGCTTTGCTGGGAGACCGAAGATGTTAAAATTGTTACAGGTTGTATGTGTTTGGGAACACGTTGGGATGTCACCTGGGGTGACCAAGGAAAAGGGCAATACAGAGAGAAGACCCAGGGACTTTAGTCATTTTAGTTTAGTTTAGTTACCGAAGGACCTTAAGCCTTCACATATGGATCTGAAGATGACAGAACTTGTAGAAATGGTTAAATTGACTTGCTTAGGGAGGGAACAACTACTACTTTTATAAAAGACTGGAAATCCTTCATGGACTTTTTGCTGAAAATGGATAAAAACAAACTGATGACTTATGGATTTACTGATTAATAAGGGTTGAATACAGGGAGAAAGGAACCATGTTATACAATTTAAAAGGGGGAAACGGTTTCAAGAATATCTATAACTGCTGTAAAGAAAATAAAAAATCGCTTAAGTATTTTTGTTTTATTTTTCTTTCTATTCACTTTCTATTGTTTCAACACTTTTTGTTTACCTTCCTTACTTTTTCCTATACTGTTTCACATTTATCTTTTAACTTTGTAAAAAAAAACCTTTAATAATTATAAAAAAAAGAACAGAAAGAAAAGAACAGAAGGACCTTGAATCTCAACTTCCCTTCCTACGTATAAGCTGAAGCTTAGCCCAGATACAAAAAAACAGTGCAGAACCGTACCATATGCATAAGTCCTGAATCATTCTCATTCCTTAGAAAAAGGATTAAAAGCCATGCTGAGGAAAAGAAAATAATAAAGGAAGCGAAACAAAAAGATCTATTTTCTGGGCGGCAGTGGAGTAAGAAAATACAGTGTGAATATAAGCTTTAAGTTTACTCTTTTGTCACACCGCTGGTCCCAGAAGCTAAACAAAACCCCTAGTTGAGAGGCCGCAGTGCTGTGCGGCGCTTAAGAGCTCTACCTAGTTTTCCTACCAAAACGGCATTTTAAAGAAAAGCAAAGCTTCGAAGGACTGGAAAGCACCGGGATAATAGAAGAGACCACCGCAGCCGGTTCTTCCGCCCCCGGGACCCGACCCAGAGGCGCGGGCCGGAGGCCCTCCCGAAGGGCCCGCGAGGACTCACCAGCCTCTCCTTGCTGACCACCAGCAGCCCGCGAGCGCCGTTGATCTGCGCCAGGCGCACCTTCTCGTAGAAGGTGCAGTTCCCCCGCATCACCATGGGCACCGCGTTGCCGAAGCCTCCGTCGGGGACCTCGGACGGAGCGCACAAGACCGACACCGTCTGATCCTGCAGCGCCAGGAGGGACTG